CCTCCTCACTGGGTTCCCTGTTCCCAATCCACCTTCTACAGTCTGTTCCCCTCGTGTAACCAGGGGGGCCCTTTGCACAGCTGAATTAGATTCCAGCCCTGCTTAAAATCCTCCCTTAACTTCCCATTGCATTTAGAATAAAATTTATATCAATCAAGTTTCAATTAAAAATTCAAATTTCTCATCGTTCACCTAGGATTTATTAAACTTCTATCTTGTGTGAGATACTGCTTCAGAGACTAGGGATACAGCAATGACCAAAACAAAAAGCACTACCCCATGGATGACATTCTTGGGAAAGAACAGATAAATGCAATCAGTATCAGTCAATCCTGTAATGTATTAAATGGTAATCCATGGCGTGGGGGGGAAAATAAGCAGGAAAGAAGTGGGATGCTATTTTCAATAATTTGGTCAGGAAATATCTCACTGGGAAGGTGATGTTGCCTCAGAGACCTGCAGGAGAGGAGTCTGTGAGCCCTTGGGATTCAGTATCTAGGGAAAGTGATATAGACAGTGGTAACAAGGTATCACCAAGTATAAAGACTATGAAGCTGGACCAGGCCTGCTGTGTTCCAGAAACAGCAAGGAGGCCTGCAATGGGACAGGAGCTCAGAGAGCAAGGGGCAGAGTGGGAGGTGAGCTGGGAGAGGAAATGGGGACCAGGAAGTGGAAGACCTGGAGGTCTGGCTAATGCCACAGGAGTCTCATTTCTTTAAAAGGCTGGGCTAGCCGGGACCGGTTTGGCTCAATGGATGGAGCGTTGGCTTGGGGACTGAAGGGTCCCGGGTTCGATTTCGGTCAAGGGCATGTGCCTTGGTTGCGGGCATATCCCCAGTGGGGGGTGTGCAAGAGGCAGCTGATCGATGACTCTCTCTCATCGATGTTTCTAACTCTCTATCTCTCTCCCTTCCTCTCTGTACAAAATCAATAAGATATATTAAAAAAGAAAGAAAGAAAGAAAGAAAGAAAGAAAGAAAGAAAGAAAGAAAGAAAGAAAGAAAGAAAAAAAGAAAGGAAGAAAGGAAGGAAGGAAGAAAGGAAGGAAGGAAGGCTGGGCTGGTCCAGGGCAGGAGAGACTTCTCCACCTTTGATCCTTTCCTTGATTTTGACATTTTTTGCGTGTAATCTTAGGGGAGGAGAGAAGAAGGAAAGGAGAGTTCTGGGCAGAAGAGGGAGGGACTTGATCTGACTCAGGTGTTCAAAGGCTCCCCCTGGCTTCTAAGGGGAAAAGGGCTGGAGAAAGCTGGGAGCTGGTGAGGAGGCTCCTTAGACAAGGCTAATGAAGGTGGGACCAAGTGAAGCCATGGGGGCAGGGGAAAGTGGGTGGATTCTAAATATACTTTGAAGATAGAACTGACAATTTCCTGAAGAACTGGATTTGGGATGTGAAGACAAAGAGGAATCAAGGATGATTGCAAGGTTTGTTGCCTGTGCAGCTGGAAGGATGGGGGATTCGTTCATAAGACTGGGAAGACTGAGAGGAGATCAGGTTTAGGGAGGAAGATCAGGAGCTTGGCTTTATTAATTATTATTTTTTTAATGTTGGATGTCATTTATTTACTTTTTAAAATATATTTTTTATGGGGGAAACCAAGATGGCATCATATGTAAACACCTAAACAGCTGCTTTGCACAACAATTTCAAAATTACAACTAAAAGACAAAACGGATACACTCCAGAACCACAGGAAAGCTAGCTGAGTGGAAATACTACAACTAGAAGGAAAGATAAAAGCACATTGTGACTCAGAGGAGCTTCAAAAGGCTGAAGTACAGAGATGTGCAGGCAGAGAGGATAAGCAGCTGAATGCATGGACAGCTGAGTGTGTGGCTGGCTTTCTAAAGCAGGAGGGAGACAAAAGCTCCTGACTGAACTGAACTCCAATTCCAGGTGTGTTTCTGGGAACCCAGACTCATTTGGGGAGCAACTGGACTGTCTGGCAGTGGGCAAGGGTGGTTTTCTCTCAGAGGTGCCTGCAGTGATTACTGAGGGACACTGAGACCCAGGGATCACTTAGGGCAGGGCTGATGGGAAGCAAAGGCTGTCGCTCCACCCTGAAACTCTGCCCCATCCAAGCTGAGCACAGAGGCTTTTGCAATTTTGCAAGTCTTGTCCCATAAGGGTGTCTCCAGCATAGAAGTTCTCCTGACGTAGACACAGTTGATCCTCACAGCCAATTGTCCTGGAGGTCAATTCCTCCCACTGATACCAACAACAATCAAGACTTAACTACAACAAGGTTGAGCACACAGGTCCACAAAGGGGTTCACCACGAGTGTCCACCTCAGGTAATGAGAGGCTGAGCCGATGGGCCCTATAGGACACCTATCACACAAAGCTACTCCACCAATTCAGGGAAGCAGCAAAAATGCAGAGACAAAGAAACAGATCACAAATGAAAGAAATGGAGGAAAGGAAACAACTGGATATAGAGTTCAAAACCATGGTCATGCCCTAACCGGTTTGGCTCAGTGGATAGAGTGTTGGCCTGTGGATTGAGGGTCCCAGGTTCAATTCCAGTCAAGGGCATGTACCTTGGTTGTGGGCACATCCCCAGTGGGAGGCGTACAGGAGGCAGCTGATCAATGTTTCAGCTGATTTCTCAACAGAAACTATGCAGGCCAGACGGAAGTGGCAAGAAATATTCAAAGTGATGGATAGCAAGAACCTACAATCAAGATTTCTCTAACCAGCAAAGCTATCATTCAGAATTGAAGGTCAAATAAAGAGCTTCAGAGATAAGAAAAATCTAAAGGAATTCATCACCACCAAACCAGTATTATATGAAGTACTGAGAAGTATTCTTTAAGAAAAGGAAGAAGAAGAAAAAGGTAAAGACAAAAATTATGACTAACAAATACATGTTATCCACAATTGAATCTAAAAATCAAGTGAATAAGCCCTAACCAGTTTGGCTCACTGGATAGAGCATCAGCCTGGGGACTGAAAGGTCTCAGGTTCAGTTCTGGTCAAGGGCGTGTACCTTGGTTGCAGACACAACCCTAGTAGGGGGTGTGCAGAGGCAGCTAATCAATGCTTCTCTCTCATTGATGTTTCTAACTCTCTCTTTTCCTCTCTGTAAAAAAAAAAAAAAAAAAAAAAAAAAAAAATCAATAAAATATATTTAAAAAATAAAAATCAAGTGAATAAAAAAATAAAAATCTGATGAACAGAATAAACTGGTGAATATAATAGAATTAGGGGCATAGAAAGGGAGTGGACTGACAATTCTCAGGAGGAAAGGGTTGTGGAGGTGTGTGGAAAGAGACTGGACAAAAAGCATATACTTATGGATGAGGACAGTGAGGGGGAGGTAAGGACAGAGAGTGGGGTGGGAACTGGATGGAGGGCAGCTATCGGGGGAAAAAAAGAGGAATTTGTAATTTGAACAATAAAGATTTATTAAATTAAAAATAAATAATATAATAATAAAATAATAAAAATATTTTTTTATTGATTTTAGAGAGGAAGGGGGAGGTAGAGAGAGATAGAAACATCCATAATGAGTGAGAATCATTGATTGGCTGCCTTCTGTACACCCCTACTGGGGATGGAGCCTGTAACCTTGACCAGAATCCAACTGGGACTATTCAGTCTGCAGGCCCACACTCTATCCACTGTGCCAAACCAGCCAGCTCTATATATTTAAACTATAGGCCCAGTGCAGGAAATTCGTGTGTGTGGGGGAAGGGAGGGGAAGGTGAGGGGAGGTTGTCCCTCAGCCCAGCCTGCACCCTCTCCAATCTGGGACATCCTTCTCACAATCTGGGCCTACTGGCTCCCAACCGATTGCCTGATTGCCCCTAACCGCTTCTGCCTGCCAGCCTAATAACCCCTAACCACTCTCCTGCCAGTCTGATCAATGCCTAACTGTCCTCCCCTGTCAGTAAGGTTGCCCCCAACTGCCCTTCCTTGCTGGCCTGGTAACCCCTAACTGCCCTACCCTGCCAGCTGGCCTAGTTGTCCCCAGCTGCCATCCCCTGCCGGCCATCTTGTGACCACATGGGATGGCCATCTTGTGTGAGGCCATGATGGTCAATTTGCATATCACCACTCTATTATATAGGATTTGAGATTCCTATTAATGTGGCAAGGTCACTTATCTGTATGCATTAACTTATTTATTGTTGTCCACCATGTTAGCCACTTGAGAACTAGCCACACTTATCATGCCCATCACCTCACCCCCAAGAACCGGGCTTGGCAATATAGGAGTTCAGTGAATGTTGAATTGAAGTCCAAAAAGTCCTCTACCTTCCCAGTCAGCCTGTGTCTATTCCAGTTTACCTAACCTGACTCCACTGTCTAATTGATGAATCCTTCCCATTATTGTTCAAACGTCCTCCTCCACGAAGGCTACCCTGACTACTTCACATTTAAGCTCATGCTTGATTTTTCTCAATAACACGTTTCACCTTCGAATATACTATATAATCTTAAGATTTTGTTTTCCCTTACTAAAAAGTAGCTCCATGAAGGCAAGGATTTTTGTCTATCTTGTTTTCTGCTGATGCGTACAACATGGTCTGGCACACAGCAGGCGTTTAATAAATACTTGCTGAATTTGTGTTGCGGAGTGGGACTTCAATCCCCGCCGAGCGGGTTAAGGCCTGAGGCCGGTGAATCATTTCCGACGGGCCCCGCCCACAGGCGAGACCGCGCGCGCTCCTGCGGGAGAAGGGGCGCGGCTCCTACCGGAGCCTGGGGGCGGTGGGGAAAGTGGACTCTGCGCAGGCGCGGAGCTTCCCGAGGACGGAGCGTCCCAGAGCTTTCCTGGGCTGCGGGCGCGCGCGCGCGGGAGGGCGGCGGCGGCGGCGGGTGCGCAGGCGTGGCGGGCTGTGCGCAGGCGCGGGCCGAGGGCGGGCTGAAGCAGCTGAAGCGGCGGCGGCGGCGGCGGCGGTAGCGGCAGCGGCGGCGGCAGCGGCAGCAGCTCGGGCAGAGGGGCGGGAGCTGAGGCGGGAGCGGACCGGCTGGTGGGCGAGCGAGAGGCGGCGGAATGGTGGACTACCACGCGGCGAACCAGTCGTACCAGTACGGCCCCAGCAGCGGGAGCAACGGCGCCGGCGGCGGGGGTAGCATGGGCGACTACATGGCCCAGGAAGACGACTGGGACCGGGACCTGCTGTTGGACCCGGCCTGGGAGAAGCAGCAGCGCAAGGTGCGCGGCCTGCGGGCCGGACCGGCTGGAGGGGGCCGCGAAGGGGGTTGGAGGTCCGGGGACGGGATTGGAGGGTCTGTGATGGGAATTGGGGGCCCTGAGAAGGAATTGGAGGATCTGGGGTGGGTTTGGAGTCCTGAAAAAGAATTGCAGAACTTGAGCAAGAATTGGGACTCTGAAAAAACAATTGGCGGCCCAGTGGGAATGTGGAAGTCTAAGGAAAAGGACTCGGGGAGCCGATGAAGGAATTGGAAGGTTGGGCGGGGAATTGGGGAAACCAAGGAGGTGATTGGAGAATCTCAAATGGAATTGGGGTCTGAGGCGACATGGAAGGGCCGGGCGCCAAGAGAAACGGGGGAGTCGAATTTGCGGGTCCGGACAGGACGGGTTGGAGTCTGAGAGGAGCCGGAGGGCGGAGGGGCATTCGGAGTGAGGGAAGGTTGGAGGGGGTTGGTGGTGGCAGCAGCAGTGGGGGGGTGCTGAAGGGGACGAAGGCTCGGAGGCTGCGATGGGTGGGAGAGTGAGAAGGAATTGAGGAGCCAGAGTAGGGGGAGGACCAGGGTCGGGACGTGGGAAGGAGAGGGGCTAAGGAGAGGGTGTGGAGACCTGGGCTGGGGTGGGGGGAGGGAGGTCTGGGCAGGGACCTGTGAGCAAGAAGTTCCTGAGGGGGTGAGGTTTATTCTGGTGCCCCCTTTTGAAGGGAAAAGGGGGAGGTAGGCTGCGGGAAGGAGAGGCTGCAGGAGGATGGAGAGCATTTGGCACTGTTTTGGGAGGGTTTTCTGAGAACTGGTGGAAGGTGGAAGGTGCAGCGAAGCCGGGACTGGGAGCGGGGAGGAGCTGCGGGAAGGCCGATGCGGGGGGAGCTTAGTGAGGAAAAGGAAGGGCTCGCTGGGAAGGAGTCCTGTGCTGGAGAGACCGGGAAGGCGGTGTGTGTGTGTGGGGTGGGGTGGGGGGGTGGGGTGGGGGGGTGTTTCGGTGCAGCTCCGGGCTGGAAGAGTGTGCTGTGAAGGTTGGAAAGTAGGAAGAGTTGTGTTGGGGGAGGGGCACACGAGAGCTCCTAAGCCGGGTCTGTGTTACGGGGCACTTTGGGGTGTGGACGCAATTTACGGGGCACTCGCAGATCGAGAGGGAGATAAAGGAAGTGAAAGGTAAGAAAGGGTTGGAGCGTGTGCTGAGAGCACTGTGTGTGAGCAGGCGGGCGTGCCGAGGTGGGTGGAGTTGGAAGCATTGAATGTGTTCCGGAGGTCTGCATTTTCTTCCCAGGTTTGTTACTGAACCAGTCTGTGGTCTTGGTAAGACCTGATCTCAGTGCACTGTTCTCTTCCAGTCCAGCAAAGATGGACGTGTGTGGTACTGGGGCCTTGGGAGCAGACTCGGATTTGAGCTGAGGAAAGGTGTGTGTGTGTGTGTGTGTGTGTGTGTGTGCGCGCGCGCGCGCGCGCGCGCGCTCTGGGGCTCCGTGCAGGCAGTCGGGTCTGGAGGGGAAAGGGTGAAGGGAGCAGCTGTCCCAAGCCCTCCCTGGGGTGGGGCCTAGCATAACCTTGGGTAAATTACCAACCTCTGCTTGAATTTCCTCCTCAGTGACGGGGGTGGCGTCCTTACCTGTTGCCCCACCTGCCTCAGAGTGGGCAGGTTGAGATAATCTGACATAGAAATGCTTTTTAAGGGGAACGGGATATCTTTTCTGCAGTTGGAACAATTATTACCTGAGGCAGTGCCGGCTTGGAAAAGATTAAGAGTTGCCAAGAGACCTGGAAAGTTGGGAGGGGAACAAAGAGCCATGGGTTGTTTTGGAGAATGTCTGAGATCTGTCTTCTCTTGCTCCAGGTGCTTGAGAAGTGCAGGAAAAGGAAATCTTCCTTCTCCCTCCCTTCTTCCCACTGCTCCCCAAGTGACTCCTTTTGCTAGCTCAGTTCCCTCTCTGGGAGGTAGAGTGTATGCTCCTTTGTGGTAATGGTTCCCTTCACACAGGGTGAGGCTGGGTGTGGACCAGGACTCACCAGAACCCCAAGGCCTTGCTGCTGTGTGTCATTTTCCCTCCTTCCATCCTCTGTGACCAGGCAAGGTTGAAGGAAAGGGTGGCTCAGTGTGTTGTAATACCAGTGCTTTAGGTTCTCAGTAAGGGCCAGTATCCATACGTCCTGCTTTATACCTACTACAGCAAATATCTACAGAGAGCTGTTTTTTTGGGGAAATTTACTTTATTGCTGTGCACTTTCCTATTATGGGGTAGGGATCCTTTATGAAAAAAAAGAAAGAGTAATGGGAAGGAATATGTACACATGTTTGTGCTGTTCTCTTTCTAAGAGGACCCTCTCCCACCCCACCCCCACACACCCAAACAGGATAGTTGGATTTTTCTATGTTGCAGTGTTGCTTTAGTGAATGACAGATTGCCTTCTTGCCTCTTCAAGGCTGAGCCACTAGTCACAGGGAGAATGGCAGTTCTGTAAATGTCTTGTACATACTCACTCTAAAAAGCTGTGTTCAGGACATCCATACGCCCTTAAATCGTATGGAATTGAATTCTTTTAGGACTTAAATAAGGATTGGCCCAAGTCACAGGATGTTTGTGGCTTCTGTGGTTCTTATTTTTACGTAAAGTTTTTACCTTTGCTCTGACTTCTAGGGATCTCTGTAACCAAGGCATTTCCTGATAAGTAGGTTATGCAACAGTTATGACACCCTAGAAGTTCTGGGGAAGGACAGGTCTGATTTTTGAGTAAGTTCTCCAACAATTATAGTTCTGGGCTACAGTTCCCTCTTCCAGTTTCTGAAAGAGAGAATTGGTCTCTGAAGCTGGAACTTGTGTAGCCTGGTCACCACCTATTCTCCTAGATAGGTGAGGTCTCGTGACAGCTGCCCCAGAACTTATCACAGCAAGAGGAAATGCTGCCTTTGCTAAGCTTCATGTTCACTGAAACATCACTGTTTACTGGGCTTTGGTGTTTAGATCTTGACCTTTGGCTCAGGCTGTATCAGATGTGAGTTAATTATTTGAAAGTTCTGATGGTGTTTTGTTTTTCTCCAAGAAATTGATTTCAGAAAGAAAGGGTGAGGGAGAGAGAGAGAAACATCAATGATGAGAATCATTGATTAGCTGCCTCCTGCACAACACCTACTGAGGATTGAGCCTGCAACCTGGACATGTGCTCTTGACCAGAATTGAACCAGGAACCCTTCAGTCCGCAGGCTGATGCTCTCGCCACTAAGCCAAACCAGCTAGGGCCCAAAAAGGTGTTTTGTGTGTTTTTTTAAGTTGATGATGGAGACCCCAAAGAAACCATCTGTTATTTTGTTCTATTATTCTAATTGCTTGCCTCCTAGAATCTGGATAAGACTAACATGTCCTTTGCAGTTTTCCAAGTTGAATAACATACTTACAGAAAAACAAAACACACAACCACCACCACCACCAAACTCTGTTGCCATTTAGAAAGAAGACTGGGGGAGTGGGGGCAGGTATACTCTGCCTTCAGGAAGAGGGGTAGGGAAAGCTATTCAGCTGCTGGCACTATATATTTTCCCTCTCCCATGATGTGTTTTAGAACGAGACTTTTATGATTATTGCAGAAGTGGTGAGGTGTGGGAAGATGGCCTAGGAGTTGTGTCCCTTGTAGCCACTCATACTGATTCAGTTGAGAGCTGAAATCTGGTTGGTGCTGTGGAGTGGTGCCTGCTGCTTCATCTAATCTCCAGTAGATCAGGATGTGGACCCAGGATTGCCCCCTGCCTTTTGAAACACCCTCCCTGGTTCCAGCTTCAGAGACCAATAAAGAGACTACTTTACAGTGGGAGCTAACTCACTCTTCAGTTGGAAACTGGTGTTAATGGTTTCATTTAATGGCAGCCTATTGCCTGGCCTCGAGTGGGCTGCTGTGTGGGGAAAGTTTGGTGAAAGTTTTGGAGGAAAACAACCCAGGAAATCAGGGTGGTGTTTTAATACCCAGGTGCTGCTGCTCCTAAACTCCTGAGATGCAGTCAGGAAGGTCAGTTAAAATGTAGGATTGCACTCAAAATGTCCTCTTAATCAGATGTCAGGACAGCAGAGACAAGGCTTCCAATCTTAAGCCTCGGGTGGGGAGTTTCTGCCATTTAAACATATACTACAGTCATGGCAGATTTTGGCCAGACACTGCCCATTTTCAGAGTTAACTGAATGAGTGGTGTAGGTTATCTGGCAATGTTATTTAGCAGATGACTGCAAAGAGAATGGAGCAAAAAAAGAATTGATTTGGGAAGGCTCAAGGAACACTAGGCTTTTGCTGTAATATTGATTTATAGTGTGCTGCAACTTATACAAGCCTTTGACCAGATCTAAGGATTGTTCTTTTTACAGTATATATATATATTTAAAATATATTTTTATTGATTTTTTTACAGAGAGGAAGGGGAGAGATAGTTAGAAACATCGATGAGTCATCGATCAGCTGCCTCTTGCACACCCCCTACTGGGGATGTGCCCGCAACCAAGGTACATGTCCTTGACCGGAATCGAACCCGGGACCCTTCAGTCCACAGGCCGAAGCTCTATCCACTGAGCCAAACCAGTTTCAGCTACAGTATATATTTTTATATTTTTTATTTTTAGTAATCCTCATCCGAGAATATTTTTCCATTGATTTTTAGAGAGTGGAAGGGAAGGGTAGAGGCAGAGAAGCATCGATATGAGAGACACATCAATTGGTTGCCTCCCACATGTGCTCTGACTAGGGCCAGGGATCAAGCTTACAACCGAGGTACGTGCCTTAGCCAGAATTGGACCTGGAACCCTTCAGTGTGCAGGCCATCACTCTATCCAGTGATCCAAACCAGCTAGGGCTAAGGATTGTTCTTTAAAAAAAAAAAAAAAAAAAAGCTGTTTTATTTGTGGGTGGGGGAGAGCAAAAATAATTAGCAAATATCTAATTTTGAAGTTTTCTGAATAGCTAACCTGTCAACATATTTATATCTTCCCTGATATTAGTATATTCTAGATCCCCTTGCTTTAATCCTTATTT